TGAATTCCATCATACATTCAAAGATTTAATACCTATCCTTCTGAGAACATCTTTTAGTAATCTTGTTGGTGGCAAGATTTAGGCTTCGTAATGAAAATATGAACAAGGCTGTAGAAACTTGAGGGGGAAGAATTAAATCCAAGGAGATTCACAGAAAAAAAAAAAAAGCACAATTTGAAAATTCAGGGACTTCTGGCCAAAAAGGAGGCATAGGTAGATACACATTGCCTCCTCGCACAACCAAAAGGAAACAGGATATTTAAAAACAAAAAACAACCAGAACTGCCAAAAAAAATTGAACTTCATGGAAGTCCTACAACCAAGGAGTTAAAGAAGGAACATTTATCCAGACCTGTAAGAGGGGCAGAGACGGGCATCTGGGGCAGAGAGAATGCGTGGCAAGGTGGTGGGCTGGAGGACTGCGTGGTCCTACATTCACATGCAGATAAACTGGGAGGAACAACGTGGGAGAGACAGACTGCGCAACCCAGGGTTCCAGCTCAGGAAACTAAAGCCTCAAAACCTCTGTGAAAATCTGTAGGGGTTGCGGTGGTGGGAGAAATTCCCAGCATCACAGGAGAGTTCATTGGAGAGATCCACAGGATCCTAGAATGTACATGAACCCACTCACCTGGGAATCAGCATCATACGGGCCCATTTCACTTGTGGGATGATGTCAGGGAAGTGGCTAAAAGTCAGCCGAGAACCGAGTGAGCAGCATTGTTCCCTCTCTGGTCCCTCCCTCACATACAGCACCACAACACAGCCACATCAGTTGCCCGGCCCTAGCAAATACCTAACGCTCGCCCCTTATAATGTAACAGATGTGCCCAGACAAAAAAATATGGCCCAAATGAAAGAGCCAATCAAAACTTCAAAAAAAGGACTAAGTGACAACATGATAGACACAACCTATCATATGCAGAGTTCAAAACACTGGTAATCAGGATGCTCACAGAAATGATTGAGTACGGCTGCAAAATAGAGGAAGAAGTGAAGGCTAAGTAAAGTGAAATAAAGAAAGATATACAGGGAAACAACAGTGAAGGAAAGGAAATGGGGGCTCAAATCAAGGATCTGAAACAGAAGGAAGAAATAAATATTCAACCGGAACAGAATGAAGAAACAAGAAATCAAAAAAACGAGGAGAGGCTTAAGAACCTCCAGGTCAACTTTAAATGTTTCAACATCTGAATCACAGGGGTGCGGGAAGGAGAAGAGGAAGAGCAAGACATTAAAAACTTATTTGAAAAAATAATGAAGGAGAACTTCTGCAATCTGGCAGAGGAAATAGACTTCCAGGAAGTCCAGGAAGCTCAGAAAGAAACTGGAGCTTCTGAGAGAGAGAAGCTCCAAAGATATTGGACCCAAGGAGCAACACACCAAGATACATCATAATTACATTATCCAAGATTAAAGATAAGGAGAGAATCTTAAAAGCAGCAAGAGAAAAGGAGACAGTTACCTACAAAGGAGTTCCCATAAGATTATCAGCTGATTTCTCAAAGAAACTTTACAGGCAAAAGGGGGCTGGGAAGAAGCATTCGAAGTCATGAAAGGCAAGGACCTACATCCAAGATTACTTTATCCAGCAAAGAAATTATTCTACCATTTAGAATGGAAGGGTAGATAAAGTGCTTCCCAGATAAAGTCAAGTTAAAGGAGTTCACCATCACCAAGCCCCTATTATATGGAATGTTAAAGGGACTAATCTAAGAAAAAGAAGATCAAACTATGAACAGTGAAATGGCAACAAACTCACAACTATCAACAACTGAACCAAAAAAACCCTCCAAAACAAAAACAAACAAGAACAGGAACAGAATCACAGAAATGGAGAGCACATGGGGATTATCAGTGGGAATAGGGAGGGGGGAAAAATGTACAGGGAATAACAAGCATAATTGATAGGTACCAAAGAGGGACGGGGAGGTAAAGAACAGCATAGGAAATGGAGAAGCTGAAGAACCTATATGTACGATGACCCATGGACATGAACTTTACGGGGGGAGGCAGGGGAAAAGCATTGCTGGTGGGAGGGGTGGTGCAGGGCAGAAAAAAATGGGACAACTGTAATAGCACAATCAATAAAATACGCTTTAAAAAATTCAATGGCTACATGGGGGAGACAGCAGGAAAAGCCAAAAGCAAATCTGTGGTAGAGGCCTACAGGTTTGTCTGTCTGTTGACAAAAACAGAGATGAAGAGACTTGAGAGAAGGAAACGGTTTTCATAGGAAAACAAGGAATTGCGACAGTTTGAAGTAAAAATAATAGCAGGTGACACATTTAGAAAAAAACATGCTGTTCAAAGGTGTTGTCTTTATTCATGTGCCTCATTAATGCCTTACAAAGATGCTGTAAATAACAATGTCAAGTAAATGACATCATGTATTAGCAAAAATAAAGGTGGACTGGATACGTACTTACATTTCCACTCACTCCTAAAACTCTCTAGTGTTATTTTTTAAAGCCTTAACTGACAAAGACAGAGTGACAAAGAAGAGCAATAAAATTTAAAAGTTGGAAAGCAGAGAGATCTTTGGTGAATGTCTTAGTGGATCCAAGAAAGCTGAGTAATAAGCCACTGGCATAGCTGAAAAGCAATGTGATGTATATCACAGTACACCTCTTTCAAGGCTGAGGATTTGGAAGTATAAAGCATCTCTAGAAGTAGGGATGAGGGTGGGATTCAACACAGGAATACTATTTTTGTTTTTTTCTTAAAGACTTTATTTATTTTTTAGAGAGAGGGGGAAGGGAGGGAGAAAGAAAGGGAGAGAAACATCAATGTGTGGTTGTCTCTCGCATGTCCCCTACTGGGGACCTGGCCTGCAATCCAGGCTGGGAATCAAATTAGTGGCCATTTGGTTGGCAGGCCAGCACTCAATGCACTGAGCCACACCAGCCAGGGCAGAAATACTACTTTAAAATATCTTTTAAAGAAACAGAGTTCCAGAACACAGAGCTTGATGTATTCTAACAGTCCCTTCCCTGGCCTACAGACCATTTGGAGGTTTTCTGTGGAGTGGGTACACCAGGGTCTCTGGAGGATGCTCAGGACAGTTGAAGGGAGAACAGTATTCTGAAAACAGGGAAATGAAGTAACTGCATGCAATTTTATGTTGAATCCTGAATTTTCCTGCTTAACTCAGCTTCCAGAATACTACTCTCTGGGTAGGGTATTTGAGGAAGATTGTAAGTGAGGAAAGATCCAGAGATCCTGACATCTGAGGATGAAATGAAACAGCCTGACAGATGTACAAATTGCCAGTTCTAAGAACAGTCACAGGATCTGAAGTTCAGTAGAGGGAACACAGTCTATAATATTTAATAACTATGTATGGCTCCAGGTGGGAACTAGACTTTATCAGGGTGATTACTTCATAAATCATATAAATGTCCAATCTCTAGGTTGTACATCTAAAACTAATATAATCTTGCATGTTCAAAAAAAACCAACAACCAAAGAATAACAGTCAACAAGACCCACCAGGCAGGGCCTCCAAATGGCTTTCTAGTAACTTCTTGCAACAAGATACCTTGTAGGAATAAAATGTCAAAAATGGAAAAATAATATCCTCTGAGAGATAACCAGGGGAACAAGACCTCTGAAGAGTAAAAACATAAAGGGGAAATGAGAAAAAATAAGACTGATAACAATTTGAGAAATCTCCCAGAAAATAAAACAAAAAGAAAATTATGTAAAATGGGACAGAAAGTTAAGAAGTGAGAGCACCTGCACAGAGGTCTAACATGGGAAAAATGATACTTTAGAACTAAAGAATAGAGATCAAGGAGTAGAGAATTAACAAAAATCAAAAAACGAGAAAAAACCAAAGAACCAGAGTTTCACTACTGAGTACTTAGCATAATGGATGAAAACAGGCCTTGCACAATGGATGAAAAATAACAGTGAGGCACACTGCTATGAAATGGTGATCCTACAAATTTCCATGGGTGAAAGGTTTCACATGAACAAAATCAAGACTCAGAATGGCATTGGTCTTTAGAAGCAACAAGACGGAAACTAAGAGACAATGAAGGGAGAAATGACAACCACTCTGAGGGAAAATGATTTTCAACCTAGAACTCTACAGTCAGCCGACTGACTGTAAAAGCAGAATAAAAACATTATCAGATGTGCAAGGCTCCCCTCTACCTGCCCAATCTCATATACCCTGTATTAGGAAGCTACTGAAATTGTATGTACTCCAAAAAAAACTAAACAAAACCAAAACCAAGAGAGAGCAGAGAGACAGAAAACAGGGACTATAAAGAGAGAGTAAACAATAATCTCCAAGATGATAGTAAAGAAAATCCCAAATGGCAGAAATGCAGCAGGCCTACAGGGAAACCCAAATGATGAAACAGGTTAGAAGACTCCAACTTCCAGGATAGAGCTCTTTAGGAAAAAAGGAGCTGAAAGAGTACCATGGTATTTGCATGTATTAAAGTGTTAAGTATTTACACCACTGGGTGAAAATATGGGGATGAATTAAGTGATAAGTGTACAGAGACGACTAAGCAGTGAAACATAGTGTTAGGCAGAAAGGGAAAAGGAATTCTAACACAATTATACTCTGTTCAGCTAAGGATTGCATTCGAGTCCTAATGTATATTTGGAATGATTACCTAGCCAAAAATAATACTGAGGTTGGGGACAGGTGCAGTGGTGGTAGATTAGTCCTCCTTTTCCGGAGGAAGAAATACCTAAAACTGAAAAAAAGAATTGGGAGCAATATAGCCAAATTATTTATAAGTGACATGAAGGTAAATACTGTCATGTGAAGAGAGAAAAATTGGAAAGGGAAAATATAAAAAAGGGTTATAAATAAGGGAAGGTTATAAAGAAAGAAGTGAAAAGAATGTTCATTAAAATATTAGCTGGAAATCTGCACATAGAACTGAAAAGGCTTTCTTTTGTCGGCACAACTAAGCCCAAATTCTCATTCATTATTAGTCACTTCAAAACAAAGCTCTGAGACAAGGTTTACTTACCACCCAACACGCATTTCCAAGATCAGCAATCTTCACTTGGAGCTTCTCTGCATTTTTTGGATCAAGGGGATTAACAAGAAAATTTCCAGCAGTGGATTTTCCTATAGACAACAGGCATCATCAGCAAGACTGTTCAATGAACACAAAACTACCCAAAGGTTAATAAAACTCTGAGGTAATACACACAGGATCCCAACTGGGAACCAACAATAACCTTTCTAAGGTAAAACCTTAGCAACACCTTGAGTTTCCAGAATTAAAACCTTCATACCAATAAATGTAGTACGGTGCACTTATTTATATGACCAAGACAATTCAAAGTTATGGACAGATTTACACATCGAAGGTAACTTGGACACCCGCTACAAAGCAATTTACAAACACCATGGTACTTTTAGTCTAGAAATTCATAAATATGTTAATGCAGGGAAGGAATACTGTGGAAGTATGTCTGCATAGGTACCTTTGTTGTCCAGTGGTCCATTATGTTCTTGGTCTTGTTCGTCTTCACAGGGTATCTCTGCCCGAATGCTTTCCTGAAGTTGACTCATGTCCCGTTCACTGAATGACTGGTCTACTTTTGATGAAGACTGGCACACCATGGTATCTGACACCTCAGATGTTACGGGTGTACAAGAGTCTGTTTCTTGAGATGTGCTGTCGTCTCCATTTTGGGAGGTTAGGAAACTAGTTTCCTGCTTCAAATTTTGGACATCACAGTCATTAGCATTATGTAGATCCTCTTTAAGCCTCAATGTTTCTTTATTACTGTTCTCAGTATAATTAACGATTTCAATTACTCCATTGCAATTAATTTCTGCTGCACCACCCTCTACACCACGTTCCGTAAGTGTTTGATCCTGGTCAACGGTACTTGACTCTTCTAAGGAACAAACAGACAAAAAGGATGTATGTGTATGCGTAGGAGTGAAAGAAGAGAAAAATTTCTCCATGAGATTAAAACATTTTCTAGAACTTACGGTTACATAAAAACATGACTGAACATCTGAAACCTATTTATGGAAGGACAAAGATCCTCTTATCCTTACCCAATTGCTAAATGAAGTCTATGTTGCATTTCCTGAGAAAAATTAGAAATTACATTTGAATACCACCTGCCTAACATTTATGACAAGTTCTATATAAGGACACCCCCAGAGATGTGCTGTATGCATGAAACCACTACATATAACAATGATAATGTTAAAGTTTGCTATAAAGTAATTTTTGTGATGCTCTATTTATACCAAGTTTTTCTTGGGTCATTTTATTAGGTGGGTTCTCTTTCAAGGGTCTTTCAACAGGACTCTCTGATTCTTCTTGCTTGTTTGGTCTTTTTTGCCCAGGGCCCGACTCTTTCTCCATTTCCTCAATTTCCTGCATTCGCTTCTCTAGTAATTCTGCCTGGCGCTTCTGCTTCTTCTTCAATTTCTTCTTCTTATTCTTTGACATTTTGTCAGCCTGGGCGGAGATTACAAACAGATAAAGCCTTCAGGTGGCTAATCCATTACCCCTAGTTGGAGATAACTGTTAACTTAATTACTTCCTAATCAAATGTCGCTCTTTCCCTAACACAGCACTTAAGTTTTTCATTAACTTAAAAAAAATGTGTAAACTCTTATCATCAAAATAAATAAAAATGAAATCAACAACAAAAGAGTTCCTCTGAGCAGTCTGTGGGGCTGGTATACTCTAAGACACACTCAAATTTATGGACGCCTCACCAATACCAACTTGTGGAAGATGCATGAGAATTTATTGAAGAAAATTATAGAAGCGCAGGAATATTTTTTCTTTGGTTTTCAAATTCTAAACAAACTGGAGAACCCCTGCCCATTGCCCATAGATCAGAATTAAATATGGAAACACCATATACTTACTGGTTTAGGCTGGGGCGCAGTACTGACTGAAAAGAAAAGGAAACTAAGTAAGAATCCTGGCATTCAGCAGGCAGTATAAACTAATGCTCGTTATAGATACCATACCAAAACTTTTGGTTTATACTGTAGCAACAACTACTTAAGCAACTTTGGTAGACACAGCATTGCTTTCTTAAAAGAACGAATAATGCATACAAAAGTTGACAAAGTAAGTTTAAATAAATTAAAATTCTTCAGATAGCATAAATATATGCAGAGCCAAGCCTCCATTTCTGGTTTCCACTATTCATGCTGCTAAAATCCCATTCCTTCATAATGCTAAAAATAGAATATGATAGGCAACAACCCCTCATCCCTATCCAGGACTCTCATCTCTAATTCTTCCACTTATTCCTTGTCAGTTTTAAACAAAGACTGGCATCAAGAGCTGTAGTAATTTGTTACATAGCATATCACGGATATTAGTTTAGCTTAAGTGAGAGGCAGAATCTGCAGTCTCTCTTTAAATAGTTTTTAAATTGTGATAAAAACACACAAAGTTTCCCTCTTAACCATTCTTAAGTGTATATAGTTCAGTACTGTTAACTGTATGTACTACCACTGTGTAAAATTTCTAGAATCTTTTCAGTTTGGGAAAAAAAAACAAACACCCCAAAACTAAAACTCAATGCTCAAAATCTTCCCATTTCCTCCTTTTTGAGTTTTCCTTTTTAAAGGAAGCCTATGATAATTGATACTTCAACTTGAGATCAAGAAATCTCCATAATATAAACTACTAAAATTGAAACCTGTACCTCAAATGGAAAAAAATTACCACAATCATAGTAGTCAATATTTATCTAGCACAAAATACTATGTGGCACACTGCCAACTGCTTTAACATAAAATTTAATCCCAATAACTCCTGCATGGGAAAAAAAATGAGGTGAAGTGACCCAGCCAATGACGAAGCCAAGATTCAAACCAGGGCTGTTCATGTCAGTGCTTAAACTCAAGCTCTTGATAGAAGTATTATCTTGCTCCTGATCCATAAATGAGCATGTATGATCACGTTAAGAGGTACACACATCAAAAATGGCCATCAAATAACAAGAGAAAACATTTTGAAACAATATGAATTAGCTTATATATATACAGTTGACACAGGTTTGAACTGTATGGGTCTACTTGAGGATTTTTTTAAATAAATACTATAAATGTATTTTACTAATGACTTTTTAAATATTTTCTTTAGCTTACTTTACTGTAAGAATATAGTATGTAACACATAAAATACAAAATATGTGTTAATCTATTGTATGCTATTGGTAAGGCTTCTGGTCAACAGTAGGCTATTAGCAGTTAAGTTTTGGGGGAGTCTAAGTGGTAAACTGCAAGAAAAATATTGAGATGTCCTAGATTAAATTACAGCAGGCAGGAGGGATAAAGGAAGAGTTGGAAGGTTAATCTGCCACTGCGAGCCCAAACCAAGAAAGACTGATAACACTCTTGAATGTATGGCTGAGACTTGCAATTAACCTCCAGGTGGCTAATTCTGAGAGAATAGCCTAATAGCTGACCACCAGGCACCACCGCATCGTGCTTATTAAGTATGCTTTTTCCAGACTGTTGCACACAACGGATCTTAGACAGCAAACACTTCTTCCTTCTGGACTATGTACCTATCCCAAAACTAAACCTTTACAGTTAAATTCTTTCTTTTAAAAATTTTCACTGGAGGACATGCTTATTGATTTTAGAGAGAGGAGAAGGGAGGAGAAAGAGAGGGAGAGAAACATCGATGTGAGAGAGGAACATCTACTGACTGCCTTTCCCATGTGCTCTGACCAGGGACTGAACCTGCAACCTAGGCATGTTCCCTGACTAGGAATCGAACCTGTGACCTTTTAGTTCCTAGGATGATGCTTCCACTGAGCCAGGGCCTAGAGCTAAATTCTCTCAAAGCAATTTACATCTTTCCTCCCCTAAACTGTTTGCATAAGAGAGCCCTGACAATCCCAGGACGGTGGATATGTTGTCTCCTTCATTTAGACTTGCTGCTGGTGGTTTCAACACATGCCCTAGGGCGTAGTCCTTTTTCTGGCTAGCATGTGGCTCAATAAAGCTTTTCTTTTAGAAAAGCTTCTGGCTATGATTTAACACAGAAAATCTGTGAAGGTATGGTGGGGGGAGGTCTGAGTGCTTAACTCCCTGGTTGTTCAAGGGTCAATTGTACAAAATACATGTGCCTAAAAGGCACAGTCTTCTCCTAATATGGAAGAAATACTGAGAATGAAAAAAGTATTTGGAGGGCTGGGACTATTTCTTACACATAAGCTCTTGCTGTATCTTATTGTTAAATGAATGAGTGGTACTTAACTGCCAGATAATAAGAATAAAAATGGAAACTTAACTTCTAATGAGAGGAAAGCCCCAAAGCTATTACCTGCTGACCCCGAAGGTGGAGGAGCTCCAGACCGCTGCCATTCCGTTGCTTCGGCAGCCAGCCTCCGGATGTACTGCTCATTCACTGACAACAAGATGTTTTCTGGTTTAATGTCAGTGTGGATGATCCGGCACTTGCTGTGTAAGTAATCCAGACCCTGTAACACCTGAACGGGAACACAGCAGGACAATTGTAAACACAAAATACAAATCTTTCTAGAGAAGGAAGAAATCACAATGTAACATTTTAAAAAATAAAAATATAAAAATGATGTGGGAGTTTTCCACAGAGAATAAAGCATTTTTTTTTTAAAGCACAAAGAAACTTCTTCAGAAAGATTATCTGAACTATGAATAAAGGCAAGAGTTTACTTATAATAAAAAAGTTCTTCCAAGTTTTACAAAGCTAATTAATTCTATTTGGAGATATCTTTAAATAAGTACATTACAAAGACTGAGAATAAACAGTCAACCTGCCCATTAAGTACTGAAATGTAGGTGATGAAAGAGATTTAGATAGCTTTTCATTTCAATTTCCTTGTTGATAAAGAACTGAGGTCTCTTGCTTCCTAGACTGGAGCTCTTTCTACCAAAATACATTATCTAAATTATTTGCCCTTTGAAGTATTAATTATTTCCTGATGGTAAACGCGTTTACTGAACACTGAAAGGTATTTATAATATTAGAAAATGCCCATGAATAATGTTATATAAAAAGATTATCACATTTGACAAAGCAATGCTTTATTAATGCAGAATTAATATTTGCAAGCAGAACTTCTGAATAAGAGCTCCAAATCCCCCCAAACCAGGAACTGTACAGAGCTTCCCCTCTAATAATTATTATAGATTAATGGGAGGGAAATGGTTATAATAAAATATTTAAATACGGTTAACCCTAGGGGCTGAATGAAACAATTTTAGCAATTAAAAAAAAAACACCCTAGTGTTTCAAATAAAACTTCTATTGGAAATAGGAAACTCTTGACACTTGAAGAATATAAAACAATCCCCACATACAAAATACTAAGGTACATACTTGCTGAATGATTTTTTTGACACAAGGCAGTGGAAGTCCTTGATAATTGGACTTGATGATCCACTTCAGCAGATGATGCCCCAAAACTTCAAACACCATGCAGATATCTAGACGTTTGTTAAGGAGGAAAAAGGGAAGCAAAATGTGTCCCACACCAATGAAATTGTTATTGTATTATCCTTTCAGTATAAAAAATTAAGAGTTTGACTGAAAAAAATAAAATCTAGCTGTCAGTATTCTGAAATTCCAAAGGTTAAGACTTCAGTCACTGAAGACAGCCAAAGAAATGGAAAATTTTGTAGGCTGGTTTATCAATAAAACTATGGAAGGAAAAAGAAATTCTGCTTTAACTGTAGAAGATAATGTACCAAAGCTTAACCCTCAAAATGAAAATGTCAACATTTTAAACAACATAGAAAACTGACTTGCTTTATGCTCTGTAGTTCACATAACTAGTCTGATTCCAGTGCTACCATGTGCCCTTATGTGTGAGCACTGACACACATACGTTAAGTTAGGCTGTAAGACCTACTGATCAAACTCACGAATGATAAGCACAAATTCACATCATGTGCCCTCTGAGAAGAACAAAAACATCTTCATGTAGTATACTGTACAAAAATGATTAACCTGAGTTTAACTATGGAGGAAACAATTAAGGCAAATACAAATTAAGAGACAAAAAACCTGACCTAGATTCCTACAAAGTTAATGCCCCGAGAAGAAAACTGTTCTAAATTAAAGATTAAAGGGACATGACTCCATCAGGGAAAACACAAATTGAAATTCCAGTAAGATCTTTTCAAACTCACTAGAACGACTACAATAAAAAGACTAACACGACCAAATGTAGGCGAGAGTGTGGAGCAATTAAAACTCTCATACTGTGTTAGTAGAAGTGTAAAATGTTACTACCATTTTGGAAAACTGGTTGGAACTAAAATATACAGCTAGGGACTTCTGCTTTCCCTAAGATGGGGCAACAAAAACTGGATTTACCCTTTTGCTTGAAACAACAACAAAAGCAGACAGAATACATAAACAACAGATTTTAAGATCCTCATCATCAGGCAATGAAATCAGTGATCCCTGAGAGAAGGTAAAAAACGAGCTGAAGCCTACGACTGTCACATCTTACTGTCTGAGACTTTCCAGGCACACCCCTTGAGTTAAACATACGGAGTTGAGAGACTAAGGCAGCTATAGTTCATAGAGCAAGGTATCAGTACAAGAGATGAGAGAGCTGCAGAAAAAGAGAAGCCTGGAGAACTAGAGATGGACCCCCTCACATATTTAGCAGTGTATTAATCAGAATAGGTATATGAGAAAACTACCAGATGCAGACAGAAATCACCTGGAAGGATTAGGAGAAATTGTGTCCAGTATTCCCATAGGGTACCAACAGTGTGTGCTCTCATCAAAAAGACTAGAAAAATGGTCATCAACCTACACATACATGGTCAATTAATTTACAGCAGAAGAGCCATGATTATACAATGTGGAAAGGACACTGTCTTCAATACATTGTGCTGGAAAAACCAGACAGCCACATGCAAAGGACTACTGGAACAGTATCTCACATCATATCCCCAAATTAACTCAAAATAAATTGAAGACTTAACCGTAAGAACTGAAACCATAAAACTCCTAGGAGAAAACATAGACGATAGCCCCTTGACAAAGGTCTGGCAATGATTTTTCTGGACATGACATGAAAAGCAAAGGCAAAAAAGGAAAAATAAACAAGTGGGACTACACCAAACTAAAGATCTTCACAGCAAAGAAAACCATCAACCAAGCGAAAAGGCAACCTACAGAATAGGAGAAAATATCTGATCAGAGGCCAATGTGCAAAACATACAAAGAAGTTATAGAACTCAACAGAAAAAAACCACAATCTGGTAAAAAATGAGCAGAGGGTCTGAATAGACATTTTTCCAAAGACATACAGATGGCCAACAGGTACACAGAAAGGTGCTCAATATCATTAATCATCAGCAAAATGCAAATCTAAACCACAATGACTTATCACCTCACACCTGTTAGAATGGCTATTATCAAAACCACAAGAGATTATAAGAGTTGGTGAGGATGTGGATCAAAGGGAACTCTTGTGCACTATTGGTGGAAATGTAAATTGGTGCAGCCACTGTGGAAAACCATATGGCATTTCCTCAAACAAATTAAAAAAAAAAATTACCATTATGATTGAGCAATTCTACTTCTGGGTATTTATCTGAAGGAAATGAAAACATATGTTAAAAAGATACCTGGATGCCCATGTCACTACAGCATTATTCACAACAGACAAGACAGAGAAACAATCTAAGTGTTCATTAAGGAATGAACAGGATGAATGGCTAAAGAAGAGGTGGTATAGACACACAATGGAACATTATTCAGCCATAAAAAGGAAATCCTGCCATTTGTGACAAGTGTAAGCCTTGAGGGCATTATGCTAAGTGAAGTAAGTCAGACAGAGAAAGACAAACACTAAATATCACTCATACATACAATCCACACAAAACAAAACACCCCCCCCACCCCGCCCCTGGTTATAGGTAAGCAGGACAGATTGGTGGTTGCCAGAGGTAGGGGTAGAGGAAATGGGTGAAGGTAGTCAAAAGGTACAAACTTCCAGTTTTAACATGATACTGTACTGCATATTATTACTGTTGTACACCTAAAACAGTATTATATGTCAATTATATTGCAATTTAATAAAAAGACTATAAAAATTTGTAGTCATAGAGCACTGGGTAGTGATTAGACCTAAAATGAATACTGCTCTGGATCCATCTAACAAATCATAAAAGTAAAATTGAAAAGGATCAAACTGTTCTCAAATAACATAACTGCTTCCCAGAACAAAGCTCAAGAAGATTTATAGGAATAAAAAATATCCAGGTAGGTAAAATAGCCAGGAAGGTAATAAATCACAATGTCTCAAAGATTGAGATCAGGCAGCAAAAATGCAAGAAAATGTTACCTGAAAATTAGAATCAACATTTGACAATGACCCAGGACTGTCACAAAAATTAGATTAGCAGACAAGAATATTAAGTTTATAGCTATGTTATATAACTTTAAAAAAAATTTATTGATTTTAAGAGAGAGACATACATTGATTTGTTGTTCCACTTGTTTATGCATTCATTGGTTGATTCTTGTCTGTGCCCTGACTGGAGATCAAACATGTAACCCTGAAGTATCGGGACTATGCTCTAATCAACAGAGCTACCTAGCCAGCATTTCTGTATTCTATTGAAAAGTAGAGACACAGAAGGTATAAAAGAGATCTAAATTGAACTTCTGAGATAAAAAGCACAACATTAGAGATGAAAAAAAATACTGGATGGGCTAAATGGCACATTAAGGCACTGTAGAATAAGATTAGAGAACTTGAAGGCATAGAAAGTGAAAAACAAAAAAATAAAACCAACCAACCAACCAACCAACCCACATAACCCAGAGGAGTAAGCTGCAAGGGTCAATTTTAACTGACTCTACAAAAAGGAGGAGGGAAAAGAAATGAAGGTATTGTTTTTTACAATAGACCAATAAATCATAAAAGTAGTGGCAGTGATCGAACCAGTAGCAAAGTGTACTCCTTATGCTTAGATTCTGTTCACCATTTCCTGATAAATGGAATTAGTGCTGCTTAGAAAATTGGATGATTCTAGGTTTGGAAAGGAAATGTACATGATGAGCCTGAAACATGCTGATAAGGCCAGATAATAAAGAAACTGTCAAAGACCTTATGTGGATCCTGACTCACCTAAGAATAAAAAAAAACTAAAAGAAAAAAATGAGGAAAATCAAGATGGCAGAGTAGTGAATGGAAGTCACACTGACCTCCTCCCAGGACCAATCTGGAATTACAACTAAATTGTGGAGAAAGCAACTAAAACAAACAATTGAACAATAACGAGGTAAGAATATATAACCTCGGGCAGACAGAAGAATCAGCTTTAGCACAACCTAACTGGTAAGGAGTGTGGTAGAGACTCAAGACGGGCTCATTACCCACTGAGGCAGCACCAGGATATGGAAATGGCCAGTTGGATCCCCCTGAGAAAAGCGGAATCTAAACCATAAGTAGGGATCTCCAGCCTACAGCAAAACATACACAGATAACAGCCACCTGTGGGGAGCGGTAGGGTTGCTCTCTGCCAGAGACAGGCAACTAGAGGTGCAAAGAGCCTTTTAAAGGGCTAACGCATAAATTTTTATTTGCAGCCACTTACCCTGGTCCCTGGCAAAGGCAGGGGCACAGTGGGCTTGAGGCTCCTGAGGAGAGCCTGGGGAAGGAGGCCTTGGTGGGGGAGAACTGAGAGTAGCCCGCGGGATTCTTGTACTGACTCATCCCCCATGTGGCAGCAGCCATCTTGCTCAGGCAGACCACTCCCCTGAGTGGCAGCAGTGTGAGAGGACCCAATTACCCCGCCCCCAGGAAGGACTCTGCCCTGCCTTGTGGTGTTTAAGATGGCCTGCTGAGTGAAGAGTGCCTAGATTAACAGCTGAAGGAGACAGCCACAGACAGTAGATTCCTGGAAGTCTCAAAAAGACTGCTTAAGGTCAGATGGGATCAACATTTGACATCATCAGAGGCAGATCCAGAAAGAAAAAACAGCAGTCTCCTACCACAGAGGTTCACACCACAAAGCCAGGAAATTAAGACAGATCAACTTAAGAAGCAGAAGCAAAAAAAGAACCTCACAAATAAAGGGAAGACAAACCACCCCCCCCACCATCGAAGGGAAAGGAGGAGTCCCCACAAAGAGAACTAAATGAAATAGAGGCAAATACACTATCAGATATTGAGTTCCAAACAATGGTTCTTAGGAAGCTCAGTGAGCTCAGAGAGAATTACAAAAAACGACAAGGAAACTATGAGGTACTTACTGTAGACTATATCAGCATGAAAAAGGACACAGGAACTATCAATAAGAGACAAGAGGAAATGAAGAATACAATTTCTGAATTAAAGAACACAGTAGAAGGAATCAAGAGCAGGCTCAAGGAAGCACAGGGTCAAATCAGCCAGCTGGAGGAGAAGGTAGAAAGAAGCTCCCAGAAAGAACAACAAAGTGAAAAAAGACTCGAAGAGCATAAAGAGGCGTTTAGGGAAATACAGGACAGCCTGAAATGTCATCATATCTGTATAATAGGGATACCAGAAGGAGAAGAAGAGGAGCAAGGGATAGAGAACCTGTTTGAAAAAGTAATGATGGAGAACTTCCCTCACTGGAGGAGAGAAAACGTCACACAAGTCCAGGAAGCACAGAGGTCCCATTCAAGAGGAGCTTGAAACTCAAATCTACTAGATACTTCAGTAATTTAAAAAAAAAAACTTCTTGCTTTGGGTCAAATAAAGTCACTCAGCATTACAAAGGAGACTTTTTAAAATACTTTTACCATTTTATTTGTAGCCTTCCCAAATTTGAGAAATGTGGTACAAGATCAAAGAAAAGAAAAACAGAATCAATGACCATGAGATCCTGTGTATGTTTTTATTTCTTGGTCAGTCTTCTTAATTATTTGAACACACACACACACACACACACACACACACACACCCACCCACCCACCCACACCGGCCCCCCCCCCCGACTAAAAAGTGACCACCACAGACAGATGATACTGTTTTAAAATGGCCTGATTCTTGCAAGTTTTCCTTAGAGAATAGGGATGTGATTTTCACTTCAGGGAAATAACTCATTACTACTTTGAAAATGATAAATTCTCTTTACATTATCAACTGTTCTGCCTTCTCATCTTCTCCTCTTGCTTCTCTGTTCAAATCTCTTACTATTAGTCCACTTGATGCTATAGAGCCATACATAGCTGACCTCCTTAAAAAAAAAAGAGCATCACCTGAAATTGAGAATGTTAAGAGAAGCCAAACACGTGAGAAAATATAATGATATATAAAATATCTTTCCTTTACAATTTTAAACAGTTTATGAATAGGCAGTTAAACTCTCCAATCCGAGACTCTTTTAGTCTGAAAAATCTGGTAGGCCTTTATTAGCATAGCTGTTGCAACAACCTTTCAATAAGTTCACTGCATGTTGCTCTGAAATTAACTCATAAAGAAAATCAGCTGAGCTTCCTTCCAACTCTAAAATTCTAATAATCCAAACAAAAACATAAAACAAGTCAGTTTTTTCATTATGACAGTATGTGAACAATCACACCTATTTAGATTTTAAGCATTAAACTACATGCACAGCCTCTTCCATGCTGGGGCCTGGTAGAGAGATTGGTAGATAGATAACAAAATTCACCCAGTATTTACCATGAAAAATTAGTTTTATTAAGATTTCTGTGCTAATTGATAAAAATCACAAAATCTTTACTTAGTAACCCAAGGCTATTTTCTGAAAAAGTTCTTTTTTTTTTTTTTGACTTTGGTTTGGTTTAATTGGGCTGAAAAGGGAAAAATGCCTAAAGCAATACCCCGAAAAATCACAACATACAAAGATAGACATAATTCACATCCATAGTCAGGAATTTACAATAAAAGTTAAAAAAAATATATAAAATGAGTCTGCATTAAAAAAAAAAAGAAATTTACAATAAAAAAAAGCATTATAGTTTGGCTTGACAAAGGAGAAAAATCCTGTTTATACAAATCTGCTGCCTTTTTTTGGATAGTTAATTCATGATTTATTTTCAAATAGATTCTTAAAAGGATACGTGTTCCATTAACTCCTGATATTTTAAAGTCATCTAGTAATTGAACAACCATTTCTCTATTTGGATCATTAGGGTCTGAATTGCGAACCTAGAGTGGGGAATACAGTGTTTAATAAAAAAGAAAGCAATGAAATAAACAAAATGGCTACCTGCAGCAAATATAACAAAATATTACTCCAAGAAGGAGTTCATACAAATCTATGAGAAAAACATATTAAAATTTTAATAGCTCAAATAGGCAAAAGAACTTAATTCACAAAGAAATGCATCCAACAGGCTATTGTTCTAAATCGACCATTTTGCTACTCAAGCTATGACTCCAAAATTAACCAATGGTAATCAGGCCATGAGGAATTACAAACCCCACTGTTTATTTAGCTGATTTCTTTTTTCACTGAAAGACTTTCTCAATGAAGGAAGAAGTACATTAATTTACTTTTTGGGCACAAGCTCCTTATTCTGTCACAGACTGACACTTTGAAAAGTACTTCCTTAGAGCTCTCCTGGTCTAAATTGCTACCTTACAAATGAAAAATCTAAGGCTCAAAAGAAATAAAATGATGAGTTGAAGGATATAAAATATTAAGTTCTTGATAAATGTACCTAAGTTCTCAGGTATAAAGGTATTAATAACTACAATGCTTATTTTTATAACATTTTAAAACATAAAATACATAATATATATGTCTTAGCACAACTTTACTTTTAACCATAGTAGGAAAGAAAAACATTCTTTGTGCTATTTGGCACATAAAACAAGCCCAATAAACATTTTTATTTGAAAGTTTTTTCAATATGTATGTAGGCAGAATTTCTGTGACAGTATATATCCCATCAGTTCCCTAGCACATGCACAGAATGTGTAAATATTGTTGTCTTCCTTTACATCTTTAAAGGTACTGGAACTTTTCTTAAAATCCTCACCTGAGGGCATTTTTTCATTGCTTGTAGAGAGAGGAAGGGAGAGAGAGAAACATTGATGTGAGAGAGAAGCATCAATTGCCTCCCGTCTGCACGTGGACCAGGAATCAAACCCACAAACTTTTGGCTACAGGACTGGCCAAGCAACCAAGCTGCACAAGCCAGTGCAAGACATTGGAACTTCACAGTAAATTTTAGCTAAGTTAAACAATTTATACTTCATATGTCTTAATTCAATAAAACTTTATTTATCGAATGCTTTGTACTTCATGCTTATGATCTAATAATACTCACTGATTTCAGCAACCGGATTTCATCCAGTGCTGTTTCAGTATAATGTTCAGCACTTTTAACTACTTTCATGGCTACAAACTTCTTCCCCCTAAGAAGCAAACATAGATAGTTAAGACTAAATGTCCTCCCCTACTTCAGGAAGCTAAGATTTAGCTATAACTGGGAGACAGTAACAAAAGTACCAACAATGATTTCGTGTTTCCCTGTATGCAAACACAGGCTACTTCTATGGGATCACTTGTAACTAACAATTAACTGGCCAGACTTAGTTTACAGAAAGAAAATTTGTTCTTGAGTAATGTCAGTAACCAAATATTTTCTCTAAGTTAAAAATCTACCTTCTTAATGTCTCTATGAATCCAAGTAAAATCAGGAAAAGGGAATAAATAAGGAGGGAAACCCCACCAAATCTGAAATATTCTGTCTATTTGGCAAAAGCTAAAAGGTTAAAAGCTATAATACTTTCCTGCTATAAGAAGCCAGAAGAAATATTCAGATGAAAAAAAAATGATAAAAAAAAAGTACATAGATAGCAACTACTGTCTCATCAAAAATAAGTGGTACACTTTTAGGTAAACATTCAATATTAAGTACCTGTGATATTTTTATGTAGAGAATAGTTTTAGACTGTGTGGCTGAGCAAATCTGTTACCAAAAGAAAATAACATGAAAACAGAGGTTGGTCTGGAGCAGTGATTTTCAACTTGTATGCAGCAAGAATTTAGTCAGGGGCACTGACTTCTTTTCCCTTAGCTTGTCACATTAAAAAATGACAACAATCAACACAATGATAGCCATCCAGTATGAATGCCCTGTATTGAACCATAAATATATAGGTCATATAATAGAGCTGCATCTATCTTATTGGTTCTATCACATCAGGGTGAGTCTGATCAGTTAATTTTTGGTACCAGAAATCCTTATATACAAGCATAGGCAATGGATTTCTTAAAAAGTCACTCTGGAGCAAAAAGGGTAGGTAATTACTATTACCTTGTTTTCTGTAAATCAATTCAACTGTACTGCAGTAAGAAAAATTATGAATTTATATACTGTACTTTCACTTGAATAGTTGTAATGCTATGAATGTGGGAGTTCTAAGTGTCTTACGGATACTAATTAATTAATGTCTTGTCTCTAAGGTCTTCTTCATCAGAGAAAAGGCATTTGCCCAGGAACACAATGATTATCAACAACAAAATTCTGATCAAGAAATCAGTCTAGTTTAGACTGAAGGTGGATTGGCTCTGGAAAATCAGACAAACACACTTAGTCATTACTTAATTCTTTTGCGAGACCACTAAAACTTACTGAATATCCCATGATAACCACACTGTTGAAAAGTGTCCCCAGCCCAACTTTCGGATCACATGATATCTCCCATTGAATAGATCTCCGATTTTCACAAGATGATAACCTCCTGGAAGAAATCAACAGGAGGGAAACAGTTACTTAAGCAGTATGAAAAGGTTATCTCATATTACATTTTTCAACATCTATATACCTTTTATAAAATAAAAATTTCTCCTATACTATCAAATCAACAGAAGAAAAATTTAAGTCACCACATAGCATCATTGAGCTCATTACAAAAAAAAAATCTTGCTGAATAAGACTAATGATTTAGAGGGAGCAAGTAACGCTTTGTAGAACAACCAATAGCTGCTTAAAAAATAAGTCATCCTCAAACAAAAATAAGGTTATATATAACAATATTCTTGACCCTCAGTAATTCAACAGATTTATCTAAACATAAAAATCTATTTATAGTTGCAATGAATTCCATTTATTTACCTTAAAAAAACAGATTTGCTTCTCTAAAACACAACAAAACTCAGAAGGCCTGAAGAGGCTTCCGACAGTGGCAGGAATCAAGATATTTTAACATCTATCTTTGCTTGCTGAGAATGAGAAGAACCAGGCTCTCCTCAATGGTAAGATACATTCTAAGTTCCTACCAAATAATACTAGGAAGTCTCATACAGAAACAGAAAAGATAACAGGCAATCAATCTTATGACACAGTTTAAGTATCTATAATTCCGGTTTAACTCATCTCAACAGTCATCACTATAAGAAACATGTAATAAAAAGGTATTTTGCAAAAGCCTACATAACAAATCTTATCACTGGTTATTCTGAATGATAGCATTGAAGAACGCTTTTATTTTCTTTTTAATGTATTTCTGAAATTTTCGAAGGAAATATGCACTATTATTTTTAAGGAGAATAAAAGGTAAAAACAGATTTAATAGAAAATGAAGATTTAAATAAATTAGGTCAAACTAAGAGGAAATACTGTTTCCTATACTTTGGGAAAAAAATGCAGTAAGCAGAAAGCAGGTGGTGGGCACAGAGTACAATATACATACAGATCCTGGTTCATAGAAATGTACACTTGAAATCTATATGATCCTATTAACCACGGGGACCCCAATAATTTAACTAAAGATGGCGGAGGGGGGCTTTACACTGGCAGAACTAATACTCAAATGAGAAACTGCATACACATGGATCATGTGTTACTATTTCTCCTTACAGAAAGCCTTACCTTTACAATAATCATTGGGATCTTCTTGCTCATCATCATCAGATCCCAGAATCTCTTCTTCCTGTTCTGGTGGATCACTCTCAGAGTGGGGAGCAGAGCCTCGGTGCTGAGTTTCAGATCTACACAATAATACAAACATGTTCAATCCAAATGGACAGAAGAAAATATGACTTTAAATAAATCTGGAAAATATACAGGGTGGGGCAAAGGTAAGCCTCCAGTTGTGAGTAGGCAAAACAGTTTATTCTTTTATTATTATTTATCAATTAGTGTACTGACCATATGAATAGCCATAAACCTACTTTTGCCACTTCCTGTATATAAAAGTACAAAGGGAAAAGAGTAGATGAACCATAATATCCAAACATAATTGCTGACAAAACCATTATATTTTCTTCATTTTGCTGTACTTTTATTTAAAAGTATATTTGTAATTATATACTATATAAAAAATCTGTATCCTGCTTTTCCTTCTACATGGTAAACTTTTCCTCATTTCTAGGCAATCTCTTAAATCTTACATATTTCTCTTAGAAGTATCACCACTTACTTTGGCACATTCTGTTCAGCTGGACATTTAACTTGTTTCTAATTTTTCACTACTAAAAATAAAGCTGTTGAATATTTTTGGATAACACTGCTTCTGTATTTAGAATTATTTCCCTAAAGTCACACTACAAGATAAGGACAGAAACATTCTTCCTATTTATAAAAATAACATGTTAAATGTAGAAAACATGGAAATAATTTTTGTTTTATAACAAATCCACTCCGAACTAATTAACATTTTGGGTGATTTCCTTCCAGTCTGTGGCCACAAACGGTTTATAGGATTATGCAGCATGACTTCTCTAAAAGGGTTGTATTATACTGAGCTGCATCTCCAGCCACATAGTAGCTTCCAGTATTACAAAGTTTAAAAAACTCAGGTTATGTGATAGACAAAAATGATATCTCATTTTATTATGCATTAAAAATTTCTATTGACTCCTTTCTCCACATACCATCAATTAGTTGTATCAAAATGTCTGTGTACTGAGAAGTTCAGGAGACAGAAAAGCTTGGATTTATACTTGGGTTTTAACACTTACTAGCTGCCTGCTTTATGGAGTTTCAAGCAAAAGAAACAGGTTACATAGCATTTCTTTCAGTAGTTGTAGTTCCCATTTTTCAATATTTTATTTACCTTTTCATTGACCTATTCGATCAGACTGTGTTTCCAAAAGATTCAATGAAACAGAACAATAGCAATAATAACAGCAAAAGCAATTACATGGGCTATTAAATCATATGAAATACCTTGGCAAGCATGACTAGTGATTCAGATTCAGATTTCTGGTGGTCATTCCAATATGCCTCAATTTTTGGTACTTTTTTTGTTCTCCTAGCTCCAAATGTAGCTCTAAAATTACATGGCTTAATGTGTTCCTTCTTGGTGAAAATAGGTCTTTGGGGAACATTTCTAAAAGAGATGCTCTGATTTCAGGCTTGTTGTCTTTTAGAATTAAAATGATTGTAAGAAGTAGTACAATTGTGAAAATTTTGAAAAGCAGTAAAAACTAGACATAAAAATGCTGGAATATTAGAATTTCCCAAGTAGAATTTCATGGGGGTAATTGTGTTTAAAAATTATTTTTTGAAGATCTGAAACATTTTTTGAAGCAAATACAGGGTTCGGCAGAAGTAAGGCCTATGTAAGTGTGGTTGGTAGGGTAATGATATAGGTGTAATAATTTAGTTTTAGTTTGAACATTTCACCTCAAATGTCATATGGTGTGCTTAAGTAGATATTGTTATGGTACAGAATTACATGCTTATGATTTTAGGGACATTATTTGTGCTGAACCCTGTATATTTGTAAAGAATTTTATGGATTCCTTTATTTTATATATTTCTTTTATTCATCCATTGTCTTTGTTTTAGTTGTAAAATTGAACATTATTAAGTATTAGTCTCAGTTAAATGGTTCAAAAGTGAATTATAAATTGTAAGTCACAATGTAAAATACTACAAGTCTCCACCCTGACATGTGTTGGTACAAAGAAAATCTATAGTCTAAACAGAAAAACAGAATGCTTAAGAAAAAAATCCTTATTAATTAACTTTAAAATTTCTTTAAAATATTTATTGATTTTCCTTTTAAAGAAATTTACGTCTTTTTTAAAAAATAAAGAATACTATTGACTCTATTCTCTATGCTGTACTTTATATCCCCATGACTATTCTGTAACAACCAATTTGTACTGCTTTACGCCTTCATCTTTTTCACCCATCTCCTCCCCTGTGGCATCTGGCAATCGCCAAAATGTTCTCTGTGAATGTTTCTATTCTGCTTGCTTATTTTGTTTTTTAGATTCAATTGTTGACAGATGTGTATTTAGTGCTGCTTTGTTGTTCATGAAGAAGACCCTTTAACATTTCATATAATACTGGTTTGAAGGCGATGAACTCCTTTAGCTTTTCTTGTCTGGGAAGCTTTTTTACCTGTTCTTTGATTCTAAATGATAAGCATTGCTGGGTAGAGTAACCCTGGCTGTAAGTCCTTGTATTTCATTCCTTTGAATATTTTTTGCCAATCCCTTCTGGCCTGCAAAAGTTTCTGTTGAAAAATCAGCTGGCAATCTTATAGGGCCCCCTTGTAGGTAGCTAACTGCTTTTCTCTTGGTGCTTTTAAGATTCTTTCTTTGTCTTTAACCCTGGCATTTAATTACTGTGTCTTGGTGTGGGCATCGTTGGGTTCCTCATTTTGGGACCTTTCTGAGCTTCCAGGACTTGTATGTCTATTTCCTTCAGTAAGTCAGGAAGTTTTCTGCCATTTTTTTTTGTGGGGGGAGGGGAATAACTACATGTTTACTAGAAAGGAAATGGCTAGGTAAAAATCGACATATCTGCTCTCAACCATTAAGAATTGATATAATGAAAAATGAATTCACATCAGGAGCCATCTGGTCCAGGGCTTTTGTTTATTGGAGTTTTTTGTCATTTATTTCATATAGGTTTTCAACTTCTCTCTCTCTCTCTCTCTCTCTTCTCCTTCCAGCATCCCCATGATGTGAATGTTGGTGTGCCTGAAGTTGTCCCAAAGGCTCCTTACACTATCCTCATTTTTAGAGGATTCTTTCTTGTGTTTGGTGCTATATGATTGGGTGTTTTCTGTTTTCTTTTCTTCCCAATCTCTGATTTGACCATCTGCTTCATCCACTCCACTGTTGATTCCCTGCAATGTATTCTGTATTTATGACTGGTTCCTTTTTGTTTTCTAGTTCCACTTTTTTATTTCCTTTCTCTTTGCTGAAGTTCTCATTAAGTTTACCTACTCTTCCTCTAAGTTCATTGAGTATCCTTATAACCAGTGTTTTGAACTCTGCATCTAGCAGATTGCTTGTCTCCATTTAGTTTGGTTTTTTTCCCTCCCGCTGGCATTTTGTTCTGTTTTTTTCATTAGGGCCATATTCTTTGTCTCTTCATTTTGGTAGCCTCTCTGTGTTTGCTTCTATGTACTAGATAGAACAGCTACGTCTTGCAGGCTTGGTAGACTGGCCTAAGGTAGTAGGTATTCTATAGGGTCCAGTGGCACAGTCTCCCAATCGCCCTAGCTGGGTGCACTCTCTAAAAAAAAAACAGAGGTGCACTCTCCATATGGGCTGTGGACCTCCTCCTCTTGTAGTTGAGCCTTGATTGTTACTGGTAGGTCAATGGGAGGAATTTAATGCCCGGCCAATCAGCTGCAAGGACTGGCTGTGTCTATGGACCACTAACCTCTGATAACCATGGAGGATCAGCTGTGTAAGGGTCCACCCCACATACCAGAATGTACTTCAGTGGGGTTCTGGTGCTGGCTGAGTCTGCCCCTTGAGTGTGTCGCTTTTGGAGGTGGTTTGGTGGTGGTGCTTCAACATGGTCTGAAGCTGTCCACTGGGTGCACTGGCTCTGGAGCCTTGAAGGAGGTACGTGCCAAGGTCAGCCACCACCAGTGTTCTGCCTGGGGCCACCTGGCATGAGCCACAAAGCAATCTGAAGATGGCTGCTACTTCTGCTAGGCTTGGAGGTGCTTAGGTAAGGCCAAACTGTGAATCAAGGCTGGCTGCTACCAGTGTCAGGCCTGGAGCCATCAAGCAAGAGGTACAGGATATACTGAGAGGTTGTTTGAAAGGTTTTAGGAAAATCTGAAGCATGAGCCAAGACATGCCATTTGGGCAAAGCCATTAGAAACAGCTTGGGTGGGCTTGAAAGTTGGGTGGGGTGGGGTCGGGTGGGGTGGGGCTCAGGGAATCACAAGGGCAAATAATGTTTGCCAGGTTGATGGAGACTCATATATGGCATCCACCTGATGGCTCTGTTCAGGTAAGGCTCATCAAAGGAACAGCAGCCTCTGTTAGCACTTCAGTTCCCCAAGCTCTTGCCCTGATATCAGACTCTTTGTATGTCTCTCATGCTTTATGAGCTATTGCCCCAGCGCAGGAGCTCAGAGGGAGAGTCCAAGCAAGTCCGTGCATGGGACGTTTAAGGGGAACTGCATGGGACTACAGTAGCCTCTGTCTACCTCAATCTCTGCTGTTTTTTACAGCCAGAAATTATGGGGACTTCTCTTCCTAGCAAAGGAATCCTGGAGTTGGGGGCCTCGTGTAGAACTGACCTCTGAAGCCAAGATATCCCTCTCAATTTTTATCCATCACACATGGATATAGGACCAGCTCCTTCAGCGCCTCTGCCCTTCTAAAGAAGTCTTGATATGGCTTCTTTAATTCTCTAGTTGTAAATTTCAGGTGATTCTGCATGGTAGTTGTTTTGCAGTTTAGTTGTAATTTTGATGTCGTTATAGGAGGATGCGAGTACTGCGTATACCTATGTTACCATCTTGTCTGGACTAAATATTAATTTTTAATGCTTCACAGCCCGTATTTACCAGTAACTTCTGGAAAATGAGTGCAGGGGAGGTAAATTTATTAAGATGCCTCATATCTTTATTCTATCCTCATCCTTGACTTCCAGTCTGGTATAAAATAAATGGCTCTGTTGTCATCTAGCTTTCTGTGGTACTACTGACAAATATAATCAATGCCTTCTGATTTCCAAGCCTCAAAACAGGGTACTTTTTTTTTTTTAAAAAAGAATTTTC